GCAGAACATTTTCTTAATAAGCTTTTTGATGCCAATTGACTCAGATAGAGGACTCTCAGTCTTAATAACGAGGATGATGATGATAATAGAGCAGGTGCCATTGACAATTGTTAACCTCTGCGTCCTGGGTCTATGTTAAGTGCCGTACATCCAACATCTCATTGAAGTCTCAAGTCATTCCTATGAGATCTTCATATTATAAGGGACCCTGGTAGTGCAAAAGTAAGGCGCTAAGCTGATACCTGAAAGGTTGGCTGTTGGAACACACTCAGCCGCTCTGCAGGAGAAAGGCCTGGTGATTTGCTCTTGTCAAGATTACAGCCTAGAAATCCCTATGAGGCAGTTCTACCCTGTCACATGGGATCGCTATGAGTTGAAATCGACTTGACAGCACCTAACAACGACAACATTCATATTATACCCATTTTAAAGATGAGAAAACTAAGGCTTGGAGAGGGAAAGTAGCAGCACCATTATCCCGAGGCCTACCACATCGCAGAGATTCAATAGATAATGCTTTCCTTCCCTGCTCCATGCAAGGGTGGTAGGACACAGGGGGGTTAAGCATGCAGAGAGGAGGTTTCCTGGACATGATGAGGCTGGACATGTGAGAGCAAGGACAGGTGTGCACCTGTCCTGGAGCATCCTCCCAAGGGCGGTCCCTGCTTCCTGGAGGTGCATTGGCTCTCCAGAGGGGTGGGGTCTGGTAGCAGGCGGGGCCTGACGTTAAGCGCCCTCGGCCTTCACTCAGCGCTGGCCACGCCCCCCCCCCCGTGGCTGCAGCAGCAGCAGCAGCAGCACCCAGCGAGGAGAAGCCGCTGTCGCCGCCGCCGCTGCTCCCCCTCCCCCACCTCCTGGACTCTAACCCAGCGCGGAACCATGGCTTCGGGCCCCGCGGGTAAGGGGCGCGGGCTGGGGGCGGGAGGGTAGCCCGTGCCGCCTCCCCTCGACTAACGGGCCGTCTTCCGTCTGCTCCACAGAGGCGGACACCCGGCAGAGGCTGCTGCGCACCGTCAAGAAGGAGGTGGGTGCTGGCGGGGGCGGGGGCGGGGGTCTGGACTCCCAGGCAAGGGGGCAACCGCAGCCACCTGGGGAAAGGCGCTGGGTCGAAAGGGTGGCCACTGGCAGCGGGGACAGCCGCCTCCGATGTGGGGCTCACTTCGGTGGATATTTACTTCCCATGGGCTGAATAGGGGGTGGGTTTGGGGCTGGGGGCCTAGGCTTGGAGAGCCTCTGTGCCTAGGGGATGCAGCTTGTAGGCCCTCAAGGTGGGGGCACTCCTGGTTGTGTATGGGCAGGATCTCCCTTGTGGAGAGGCAGGTGGGTGGCTATCAGTGGGGGGGGCCTTTAAGGTGACAAGTCCCTGGAGGGCTAGTAGGGCAGGGCATGAGTTGGTGTGGGGATAGTGGGAAGGCTGGATGGGGTGCGAAAGTGGGACCAGACTTCAAGAAAGAGGAGGTTTGCTTTTGGCAAATAAAACCTTCTCTCCCCTCACATCCAGATTCTCTGTCGTTTTTTGGACAGGAGCCAGGGGAGTCCCTCCCTGAGAGTCCCTGAGCCACAGGCTGCTCCCCTGAGGGTATGAGCCTGTGCTCCCCTGGCAAGCAGATCCCCTACTCCTCCAGGCAGGAGGGTGAGTAATCAGTTAGAGCTCAGCTGCCCCTCCACCTTCCCTGGGACCATTCCCCAGCCCAGTCTAGTTTAGGGTTAATAGCCAGTGACCCTCCCCAAGACCCAGCAGAAAGGGGAGAATTTACAGTGGTGGGGGGCTGGGGAAGCATTTAGAAGCGTGGAGTGTGTGTGTGTGCCCACGCCTGTGTGGGTGAGGACAAGCGGCTGTGAGTTTACGTAGCTGAGACGCCTGTGTATCTGTCTGGAGATACCGAAACGTCTTCCTGTGGATCGTGTGTATGTGTAACTGTGTGTGTGTGTTTCTGTGTTTGTGTGAGTAGGGATCTGTGTGTATATTTCTGTGTAATGTATGAGCCTGTGTGAATGAGTGAGGCAGTGAGCGTGTATGTGTTGCGTGTCAGTGAGTGTGTGTATCAGTATGTGTGTGTATCATGGGATGTGTGAGCCTGTGTGTGAATAAGTGAGGCTGTGACTAGTGTGTCTACGTGTGTGGCTGCGTGTGTGTGTGTTGCCCTCCCCGTGTAGCCCCACACCCCTCAGCCAGGACCCCATCCCCGCCACACCTGTATCGTCTCTGTGCCTTATGAGTCCTCAGCCTGAGGCCTTGAGTGCCTGGGGACCTTGGGGACGGGCCTGGTCTCTGTGGTGGTTGTCTACGTGTGTGTATATGTGTGTGTGCATGTGTTGAGGGTGTCAGCATCTGGCAGCAGCGCTGAGCACCGAGGAAGCCCCTGTCCTGCGCGGTGGCAGGCAGCCACTCTCACTTCCTCGGTAGCACCAAGGGCAGCCATGAGGCAGGGACCTGTTGCTGTGCCCTCATCCTCAGGGAGCGTGGGCGTGTGTATGTGTCTCTGTGTGTGGCGTGTCCCATTTTGTGGACAGAATCAGCTCACAGGCATTGTAGCATTTCTGAAAAGGAGACATCAAGATGCATAGGATCCTTCAGAAAGGCCCAGAAGTTCTCAGTCCAGGCCTGTTGGGGGCCTGAAGAAAAGGGTCTGTCTTGACCCTCTTCCCAACAAAACCCACAGACCCAGAACACTTTGGTGACCATTTTTGGGTGGGTGGGGACACTGTGGACCCTCAAAACCCTTTAGGTGAAGAACTTGCTGCCTTCATTCATCTTCCAACTAGATCTAGATGAAATATATGCTCCCCAGATATATTTTTCACCCAGAGTGTCTCTGTCTATAAGGAAATAATTGGTTGGTTCAACTGGGGAAAGGGCTGCAGGAAGAAAGGCATGTCAGCAAGGCCTTTGGGGAGGGCAGTGCTTCGGGCCTCTTATCAGGGCCCTGGTTTGGGGTCCTGGTTCCAGTTCTGCTGCCAGCTCCCTTTATGCCCAGTTCAAGTCCCTTCCTCTCTCCAGGACTCAGTTTCTCCACGTGCAGATGGAATCATTGGTCCAGATGCCCTTCGAGGTCCCGTCCATAACAGTCTGGACGGGGTTACTGGGCAGTCTGTGGGGGACGCATTGGCCCTGTGGCCAGACGACTGGGCCTACATCCTCTCCCTGGGTGTGGTCAGGCCTGGGGCTTAGACTGTGAGCTTTCTGCCTGGCTCGAGGCTGAGGCCAGTTCCTAATAGGAGGAACCTTCTAGCTCCTGCCTGGTGCTGAGGGAGCAGGGCCAGGACCTTGCAAGGCTCATCAAGGGGCCTCCAGTGCGGGTTTAACCCAGGCTCTCCAATCACAAGGCAGGTTCACAGCTGCAAGTTGCTGACTGTTTCTAAATTCTGCATTTCCCTGGGCAAATCATTTGAGTAACCTGAGCTTCCAGTTGCTCGGAAGCAGCTACGTGCTGTATCCTGTGCACACAAGGAAACTTATCAGATAGGGGGTGGGTTATCCCCATTTTACCGATAAGAAAACCAAGGCACAGAGGGAGAAAGTGACTTGCCCAAGAGCACACAGCTAGCCAGTAAGGGGCAGAGCCACATCTACGCCCCCAGATCTGTCTGAGTCATAACCAAGCTCTTAACCCCCAAACCACAGACACATCCAGCGGGGCATCCATGTCTATGCAGTTCCGGGTTGATTCTCGCCACAACCTCGGGATGTGTGGGTGGTGAAATTTCCACTGTACACATGAGAGATCGGCGGCTCAGAGAGGGTAAGTGATGGTTCAAGGGCACAGAACCAGAGAGGGGGATCAGGTTCTGGTCTTCTGTCTCCAGTCCCCTGAGTGCATGGCAACTCGAGTGGCAACAAGTTCTTGCCCCCCAAACAGGTCTCCCCCTCTTTTACTTCCCGTGCCAACATATTTGGGGGGCATTTCTCCTTGATGTCAGAGACCCGTCTCCAGTGGAGAAATCTTGGAGTCAGTCAGGTCTTCCTTCTCCCACCCTCTGGGTTCAAAGAAGCTGCACATCCTTGCCTGTCACTGCCTTGCCCAGAGGTGTCCCCCCCGCACCTTCTTTGTGGAAGGGGTGACTTAACCATCAGCTTCTCTAGAGAATGCAGGCAGTGCTGCAAGCTTCAGCCCGAGCCACTGCAGCCACCAAGGGGACAGCAGAGGGTGTGGAGCTGGCGGCTCTGTCCACGGCTGACCCGGGAGTGGGTATGACCCAGCACTGTTGAAGTAGAGTGAAGGAGGGGCTTTGAGCTCAGCCAGAAGTGGGTTCAAATCCCAATGCATTTATTTAGTGAAGGCTGTCTGTGTGTCAGACCCTGGGCTGGGCTCTGTGGATAGAGCAGAAGACAAGACAGGCCCAGTCCCTGCCCTCCTGGCGCTGCCAGTGCAGTATGGGACGCAGACGCTGACAGATACTCCAAGCAGTAAATGTATAATTACTGACAGTGCAAAGATGTCTGCGGGGGAGGCCCTTGGCGCCATGAGAACAGGGCACAGAAGAACTGACCCTGTGCAGGGGCCCAGAAAGTGATGTTGAAGGAGGTAGCTGAAGAATATCTAAAGGCCTTGTATATGAAGGTCTGGGGGAAGGAAAGAGGGAGGGAAAATCATTCCTGGCTTGGGAACTACAAATGCAAAGTCTGTGTGGCTGGAGGAAAAGGTCCCTGGGGGTACAAGCATTTTGCTAAGATAAAGCTCAGCAGTTCAAACCCATCCAGCTGCTCTGCGGCAGAAAGGCCCGACAGTCTGCTTCTGTAAAGGTGGTTGTTGTGGCTAGGTGCCATTGACCTGATTTTGACTTATAGCGACCCAGTGTGACAGAGTAGAACTGCCCCATAGGGTTTTCTTGGCTGTAATCTTTATAGGAGCAGATGACCAGGTGTTTCTCCTGCAGAGTCTCTGGGTGGGTTCAGACTGCCACAACTTTGGGTTTGCATCTGAACACTTAACTGTGTGTGCCACCAGCGCTCCTTTCTGTAAAGATTACAGGCCAGAAGACCTGATGGAGCAGTTCTACTGTGTTAACACACGCGTCTCCGTCTCTGTGAGTTGAAATCAACTTGAGGTCAACAGATTTCTTTTGTTTCTTTGTTTGCTTTTCTTTTTTGTTTGTTTATTTATGTGGCTGGAGGGAGTGGGCTTGGTGAATCTGAGAAAATGAAGGACACGGATGTGGCTGGAGCACAAAAAGAAAGGAGAAGGTTGCCAGATACAGAGGAGCCTGAGCACCTGGTCATATCCTAAAATCAAGAGGAAAGGAGTGAGGAGGACATAGCGGGGGGTATATGAAAAGAAGTGGGAGGAGCTGAAATTGCAGGATCTTGGACTAGTGTCTTTACCTTCACGTGTGTCTGAATATAGTTTATTCCTAATGGGGATGAAAATGACTCATCTGGCAGGATGGTACATGTGAAAACACCCACTTGGTTAGCCTGAGCTTCTCCAGGGCAGGCGTCTGATTTTTTCTGTCTCCCCAATGCCACCGAGGAAAAGCTGGGTGCAGGGTGGCCTGCAGATGATTTCTTCCAGTTCAATCCAGCCAGCTCCATCCTGACTTCTTCCTTGCTCACTTGGTGTTTCCTCTCTCTTCTCCTCCCCTCCACCCTTAATTTTGTTTTGGTTCTGAGAGCTGAGCAGGGACTGGCTTTCTGTTGCCATGACGACTCCCATTAAAGGAGCCAGCCACGTGATGCCAGTTGATAACAGAAGCAAAATGACTAACTGCCTTGTTTTCCTGCCTCAGGGTGGGGCCTGGCAGACCTCTTAATTGGAGGGGGAACCTAAGACGGGGGCGCCTGGGAGGAGAGACCCTTGAAGAGACAAGGAGATGGGGTGGATCCAGGAGAGGTAGCGGTCTTTATCTCTGAGGCTTGTAATTGTGGAGTAATCAGCACAGTTTCTGAACTGGGCCCTTGGGTGTGCTGAGCCTCCTGCCCCTGGGTGCTGGGGTGGGAGGAAAGAGTAGGGGGAAGGAGGGACATGCTAAGAAGGTTGGGGGAAGGTGAGGGAAACAACTGATGTCACAGCTGGGACCCCATGT